GCTACAATAAAATAATTTGCTAGAAATATACTAACCAGCAGAGGGTGTCCTGGGGTAAACTAGTACTTTTCTCCCTCTATATAGATATACTGTCCACAGCATTTGGATCCAGAACTCATTTTCACTTCTTTTTTTTAAGCTGTCATTTATATTGTGCTGAACTGCACAAAGTGTTTCTTTGAGGAATAATGTCCAACAGAGACTCGTCTGAGCCAAACTGATTTTTTTCATGGTGATCACTTGATAAAAAGTTGTCCTCCCCCAAAATGAGTGTAAATACAACTGAACCTAGAATTCCTCCCAACTCCTACTCCACTTGCAGAATGCACATTAATCAAACCTGTGGACTGTCATGTGGCCGGTGCTGGAATATGCAGAAAAATAAATTATATTTTTCTTCCAACTTTTCAATACTTTTATTTAATAAGAATGCTTTTTTCAGTTATCCCCATTTTAGTTTCCTTGCAGGATACACTGACCAAAAGAGCACATGGTTCTGTTTCCTAAACTCTACCAAGCTGCTCTGAATGATTTTTTTATTGTGTAGCTCATAATCTGATTTGGACCTTATCGACATTAGATTTTTATGATAATCTCCTGTTACTCCCTTACCATGCCAGTGGTAACAATGGGAACACACTAATGCAAACAAGGTGCTGCTAGCATTTCTACTAGTATTGTCCAAAACTGCTCGAGGAGGATTAGATGACATGGGGGGTCAAGGGTAGAAATGTTAATGTGTTATTTACATGAGTATTCCCAGCCTGAGGCTGAGTCAATAAGAGATTGCCAAAGTGCAGTGCAGAGACAGCCTCTTCGATTTACAGAGCTGTGCTGCCTAGACTTCAAACATTTTCATCCTCATATGAGAGTCAGAGGTCAATACCCCTGTGTATCCTGCAAATGACACTAATGGTAGCCTGCTAGCAGTGGCTGAGCAGTATGCAAAACTCTGAACTACTAGTGCATCATCTGCATATGGCAACATACCCCATTGATTAAGGGTGGACAAACCAGTTTGGTTTAAAACAAGAACAGACTTGAAACTGCCCTAGGCCTTATTCCAATTATAACCCATTCCAAGGGTCAAAGTAGTTCATGTTGGAGGCTTCTTCTGTCTCAGTGAACACCAACCTCTTAATTAAGATAAACTTTGGTTAAGCATTTACAATTTGGGGTCTTATCCAAATCAAACCGATGAACCTTGTGATGTTTGCTCCACTCATGAAAAAGCACTCCTCAGAATCATGGAAGAGGCTTGCAGGGAACAGCTCGGTTATTCCTAGGCATCTGCCAAACAGCAGTTGGCTGTCGATTGATATATGGAAAATCTCAGCATGAATCATGCATTTTGTCTTGTTTTTATTGTAAACTTCATTATTGCTTTTTTCCCCCAATTAACTTTGAAAATGGAAGTGCCTGTTAAGCAAGATTCTTATCACCTGTTCAACTTCCAAACTATGGGGTTGTGAAGGGAGAACAAATAGTGATGCAAAAATGATGCAAACTGGAAATAGGATAGGACATTTTTTTAAATTATGTCAAAACTCTGCCTTAACTATATAGATTAACATAGAAATATATAGACTGTATTATAGATGAACTAACATGAATTTAAAGATAACAATGGGTACGTCTACACTAGTCCCCTAGTTCGAACTAGGGAGGCTAATGAGGGTGACCAAAATTGCAAATGAAGCATGGGATTTAAATATCCCACGTTTCATTAGCATGTTCCCGGGCGATCGCCATTTTGGAAATTGAATAGCCCGGATAACTGCCCGCGTCTACACACGGCAGTGAAACGGGAGTTGGAAGTAAACCCCTAACTCAAATTAGCTGTTACTCCTTGTGGAATGAAGTTTAGTAGCTAATTTGAGTTAAGGGGTTTACTTCGAACTCCCATTTCACTGCCGTGTGTAGACGCAGGCAGTTACTCCGGGCTAGTCAATTTCCAAAATGGCGACCACCCAGGAACATGCTAATGAAGTGCAGGATATTTAAATCCCGCGCTTCATTTGCAATTTCGGTCACCCTCATTAGCCTCTCTAGTTCGAATTAGGGGGCTAGTTTAGACGTACCCAATATGTGTTAAAACAAAAATACTGATATTTTGTTTTTAAGCTCGAAGCTATGCAAAATGGTCCTTAGACTCTCTTGAGGTCATATTAAGCTTTTAAATAGAGTGAGTTACATATTTGCATCAGGACCGAATTAAGAAAGGGCACTGTAGGGGCTGCAGCCCATGGCCCTGGACTAAAGGGGGCCCCACAAAAAGATCTCCAGGCCACCAAAAGTGAAGATCTTTTTGCTGGTCCCCTTAGCAGCCACTAAAGCCCCTGTGTGCTATCCAGCCCTGCCTAGCGGGAGGAGGAGGGAATGAAGGTCCATGTGCTACCATGCCTCCCCTGCCCCCTAGAGCTGCAAACGCCAGAAGCTCGGGATGTGCATGTCTCTCGCCTCCAGGTTCTGTCCTCAGCCCCCAGAATTGTGGCCCATGGGAGTTGCAGGGGGCAGTGTTTGTAGGCAAGGACAGGCCAGTGTGCAGAGCTATCTGCTCCCTCCCCTTCTGTCCCTACCCATGGTCATCTCTGCCAAAGGGGATCTGCCAGAGGTAAGTGACTAGCCCCCTAACTCCCTACCCCAGCCCTGAGCTTCCTCCCGCCCCCTAAATCCCACTCAGATTCTGCCCCAGTTCTGAGCCCCCGTCCATCACACAAACTGGCTCTGAGACTCCACACATCAAGACTCTGCCCCAGCCTTGAGCTAGCTCCCGTACCCTAACTCCCATCTAGATCCCACACCCCATAGCCCTGCCCCAGCTCCAGCCCTATCCTACACCCAAACTCCCTCCCAGAACCTGCATCTCACCTCCTGCCTTGAGCCCCTTCCCCCACACTAAATCCCATCCAGACCCTGCACTCCCACCACCTGCCCCAGCCCTGAGACCCTTCCCACACCCTAACTCCTGCCCAGGCTGCACACTCCCACTCCTTGCCCCATCCCTGAGCCCCCTCCTGCACCCTAATTCCTACCCAGACCCTGAGCTCCAATCCCACCCTCCTTCACTCAGCCCCCTCCTCCACCCTAACACTCTCACAAACCCTGCACCTCCACCTCCTGCCCTGAGTACCATCCTGCACTCGAAACCGCTTAAGCCCAGCCTGGAGTCCCGTCCTGCATCCCAAATGCCTCATCAGCAACCCCATCATGTAGCCTGCACTCCCAGTCAGAACTCTCACCCCCTCCCACATCCAATTTTCTGCCTCAATCCACAGCCCCTTCCTTATTTTTGCTCCACCCCAGAGCTTAGGGGGCCCCACAAAATCTAATACCCCAGGCTCCCAGAAGAGTTAATCCATCCCTGGTTTGCATGCTAAACTATATTCTCCATCTGTGCATTAGAGAGACTGGTGACATAAACAATATCATAGATGGCAGGAGGCATGCTGCATTAATCATAGGTATGGAGCATTACAATTTGATAAGTGTTATATGTTGGTAGAGGGGAAAAATACTAGCAGGACACCCTCTACTGCTTAACACAGTGCAGAAGGTACCACATACATGCTTACATTTTAGCTAAAGGAAGAGGCATTCAGATAAATGAGTACATGCACTAGCACTAATATGCACAATTTATTGGCAAATGGCTGAGTTATGAAAATATATGGAAGCAAGGCTTGCTGTGTATGTATGGCACTCATTCCTATGCTAGTGGAAGCTGAGACCTCTGGATCTTAATACCAGAGCCTGGCCCTCTACTGCGTGAACTAAAAATTCCAGGTTTGTGAGCCAAGGCTATAGCAGGCTCATCAAGCTGTAGTTGGTCTTGACGCTACTAGTGGGGGACAGAGTGCCACAGTATGCAGGCATGGCTTACACATATATGTTTTGTCATGCTTATGAGTATGAAAAAAATATTTCAAGTTATCACTGAGATAAAATCTCCCATGTATTGTACACTCCAACTTTTCACATCTTTCTTTTGTAAGGGTATCTGAACCAGGCCTTAGAACCCTTCTCTATTCTTTTAATAAGATGCAAACTCAAAAGAACTGGCTTCTTGGAAAGCAAAAACAGTTTTAGCATATGGGCTTGTTAAAAATGAATTTCTAATGTGTTGAACTGAACATAACGCTGTCACCTAACCTTCACTCAGTACTACAGAAAATTAGCTGCTACCTCTGCAAAGCCACTGGGATCCCATAAAGAACTTCCAGGCAGTATTAGCATGAGAACAAATACCAATTGTACAAACATTTCCAAGTGCAAAACTTTTTGCATCAGGGGAACAGTAATCTTTTAGTTCCAACTGAATAATGTTAGGAATACAGATGATTCAGCAGTGATCCTGGTATATCTTCTCCTTCCCAGACACAAACATAAGCTGATGAGAAATATGAGACATTGCTTATCTTAGTTAGCATTTTTTAAATCAATTGTAGAACAGTTGGGACAATTCCAGATTACTTGCAGATTCTGGAGAGTGCAATAACACATCTTATTTTGTTAGCATTATTATATTGTTAACATATTAATCCACAAATAGAAATTCAAGGTATATTTTCCTTTAGAAGGATAGGAGGTAAGGGTAAATTTTTAAAGAGCACAGCTAGGACCCTTAACGCTATTCCTATTGTTTTTCTTTCCATGTTGGATTATAAACCAACAAGTGATTCTGCACTTCTGCCTTCAAATGTGCAGGTTAATTAATTAGTGATTCTGCACTTCTGCCTTCAAATGTGCAGGGCACTCAAGCTTTGTGAACACACATGCAGCAGGCAACAAATAAAAAAAATTCTCCATCTTGCTGGAATCTGCAGCAACCAGACCAGGTTTTTTTGCAAGTGGAGACTGCATAAAACAGAAGAGAACACTGCGTCAGCACTGTACTCAGAGTAAGAGCCTTTTAAGGACGTGATATGGGAGTGTGCTTTGGTGTGCTTCCCACAAGCAAATCAGTGTGCTCAGGAGGCGTAACCGAAACCCAACCCTTTCCCCTACTGCCTTCTATAAAGAAAGGCTGCCTTTCTCTTCACGTTCAACTTCTCAGTGAAGAAAAGGGTGCTGCTGCAGATCAGCGATAGACCCTGGGATAAAACAGAAGAAGTATGCAAAGTGCAATCTTCCTTGCTCTTCAGCACAACTGTGGACAAATGGAGAGAACTCCCAGCAGCTGTCAAAATGAGGAGAAGAAAGGAAAGATGAAGAGAACTGTGTAAGTTTATGTATTTATAGCAGATTTAATTCATATAAATAGCTACCTGTGGCTTTCAGAACAGTGATTCAAAATAGGGAGCTTGCATCTCAGTAAGGAGAAAATGTTTACACTATTTGGTAAGAATCTGACAGCACTGACTTTTTAAAAATGACTTTGGGTGCAATACCTAAGCAGTGCAAGAATGGGTTGATTTATGTATTTGATGTCAGCTTGGATTTTTAAAATGGCAAAATATCTCCACTTCAAAAGCACTCATGAGAAAAAAAAAAATCCTGTTTTTGTTGAACTAATCATTTGATAAAAAATATAACTGTCATCGTCAGTTCAGAAAAAATGTAGGGTTTGTGCAGAAATGGTTTATTTCAGTTTATGCTTGTGTGGTGAAAATGTAAGCACATATTTCCCCCATTCATTATTTACCCAGCTAGCTGTGCAATTTTACATTTGATTGGTGTCTTTAAATGGTTCTGTCATTTGACTTTTAAAATTTAACTGAGTTTGCTTCTTGCCAAAGCAAAAACAGATCTTGAATATCTTACATTATTAGATCTATAATGAATATTCAGTTTGCATTGCCTGGATAAGACATGATATTTAAAATGTAAGGGATAAATTAGTCTTCAATTCCCAGTTTCACATAGAGGCTAATGGAGACAATTTGTGCTGCAGTTCTTGTGGAGTTTAGTCTCACCTGATCCACATTCACCACATGGCCCTAAACTAGACTAGCTGCCGCACTGAAAAGACATTTTTAAATCTCGCAGATCCAGTTTTTGTCTCTTCCAAAAATCCAACAAGAAGAGATTAAATCTCCAAATGAAGAGGGTTAAATATCTGAGCACCAGAGGCCCCCATCCCAAGTTTTCAATCTGCTAAAACACCCACTGAGGACAGGACAAGAGCAGCACACCTCTGATTGTGAAACTGTTACAGATGCCTTAGTTATAATTAGTCACTTTCCAGTGGCTGTGTGATCTCAAGTGCTCCATCAGTGCAGTGGGGAAACTACGGTTGTCTGAGACAGAAAGATTGAATCCCATGTTCTTGAAATAGAACTTAAAGAGTTGAGGGTTGATCCCACAATTAAGCAGGCACAACTACCATCAACTACAAGAGCAATTTTTCATTCTCTTTATGGATTACAGGCTCAGTTCCATCTCTAGTCAAAATGTGTAAAGCTGAAAGTATAATTTCAGTTAACTCTCATTTTAATGTATTTTCCTCTCTTCCTCTCTCCTCTAGCATTAAGGATTGGAAAACAAGGTTGAGCTACTTCCTGCAAAACTCTTCCACTTCTACAAAAACCAAGTCCAACAAAAAAGGAAAGCAACATTCTTACATCAGGTAAATTAAATATTCAGATTTCACTCAAATGAATTTCAAATATTTTAGCATTCAAGGGAGTAGAAAAATGTGCTGTGCAACAACCTAACTATACTCTCCATCCTTTTATATAGACCTTCTCCTGAAGAAGCCCAGCTTTGGTCAGAAGCTTTTGATGAACTTCTAGCTAATAAATGTAAGTCAGTCTGAAAAAAAAAATAACAAATCACTGTAAAAATATAAAGGTGTTTTGGTCTTTGTGGGTTTTTTTAATAATAAACACTACCTCAGATAAGAACAAACAGTGGTTTTCCATCCGTATTATAAATTACCCTTTGAATAACCTCCTGCATTCACCTTGATATTGGTCTCCAACACTTCTATTTTAAACAACCCAAAATCCCACTTCCTAAAATCTTTATCAAAGATTTTTCTGCACTTAATAATTCTCTCCAAGACAAATCCTCCTTCTAGTGCTATTAAACATATTCACATTAAGCCACTGTGGACTTGAGGCTCTGTGGGTTTTATAGCCACTCTGCAAAGAAAACCACTTAATTGCTGATTAAGAAAAAAATATTAGCATTTGCTGATACTGCAAATGTCTTCCAAAGGTTTATAGCTTTGTTGTAAATATTTACTCCAGTCTAAAGGTTAACATACTAGAATTCAGATCTGGAGAGAAACTGTATAATGAAGGGGGTTGGTTTTTGTCTTCTAAAACCTAGCAGGATGTTAAAGGAAGTGTGCCATTTTTATATGGTTTTCATTTTTTGCACTTTTCCTTCAAAAATAACTTCAGTTCTTTTTTTTTTTTTTTTTTTTTTAAAGGAAGCCTGGGAAACTATTCATGCCTAATAATGTTCTTTATATGAATACATAGACAGTTTAAAGTTCCTGGCCCTTTGAAAGAAATAGGAACTCTCAGAGCAGGTATATTTTTGGTAGGAAAATACGTGGACTATTGCTGAATGCAAGATTCTTGGAATGTTTTCAGTTCATATATTTCCTCCTTTTCTTTCTCTCCAGATGGTCTTGCAGCATTTCGAGCTTTTTTAAAATCAGAGTTCTGTGAGGAGAACATCGATTTCTGGCTGGCCTGTGAAGACTTCAAGAAAATCAAGTCACCTCAGAAGCTGACATCCAAGGCTAAAAAAATCTACAGTGATTTCATTGAAAAAGAAGCTCCCAAAGAGGTAAAAAATCCCTCTATTTAAAACCCCCATTGCTGCTATCTCTGAGCACTCAATTTTAACGACCACTTCCAGGCTTTCATCACATCCATTGTGAGCTCATGTTTTAAGATTTTGTTGCCAAGCTGCATTTATATCCCTGAGTACTGATTATTAACATCCAAATATCACCTTGGTACAATAATGTATACATACCAGTTCTCAGGTTGGAAAATTGAGCCAGCAGTGTTTTCACAGAGATTCTGAATTAGACCCTCAGCCTGGGTACAGCATCAAAAGTTCACAATGTATCTAAAGACATCAGCACTGAAATATGGTTGTCATCATTTAAGTCTTTTCAGTTGCCCTATAGTGCAATACATTACAGGAAATATTCCTCATTACAAAAATAGGGACCTGATCTTGCAACCCTCATAAAGAAAACAGTCTTCGGAAACTTCACTGGGAGCTTTGCCTTAAAGCTTCTGTATCAGGCCCCTTAGTCTTATGACATCTCATTCTTATCTTGCTTGTCTATGGCATTTGCTTCAGTTGAACACTCTCATCAATACATTCCTACATTCTATTTCAGATAAACATAGACTTCCAAACCAAGAACATGATTGCCCAGAATATCCAAGAAGCTACACACACCTGTTTCAATGCTGCGCAGAAGCGAGTCTACAGCTTGATGGAGAATAATGCATATCCACGATTTTTAGAGTCTGAATTCTATCAGGAACTGTGTAAAAAGTCAAAGATTACTGGGGAGCCTCAAGGGACATGAAGGACAGTGAAGTGAAGAACTCTATTTAACCTGCTAAGGAAGAAGGCCGTGTGTCCTGGCAGCTCCATAACCTGAAAGACTGAAATCCTGAATATACAGGTTTGCCAGATGTAATGAGAAAAAATTAACAGAACTATTACCTCTGATGGTTCAGAATTGTGATAAACAGTGATGTTGTTAGAAGTCTAGGAGAAGGAGCCAGGAAAGGCTGCTGGCCAATATCCAGTGATGAGGCATTTTCCATCAGTAAACAATGCAGAGAGAAGGTATTTCCATGCATTATTAAAACATTGTGTCTTGTCAGACTCCTTATGTCACATTGGAAGCATTGTTACTGTCGGTCAGAACAGTTTGATCAAATATTCCTGGGAGTTTGGACCATCTTTGAATAATTTATTGCATTTTTTCCCAAAACAACGGGTGGTGTGTTATCTTTACTCCCTTAGTTCTTAATACTGGTTCAGTTAAGTAAAGATTTCCCACCTACAAATAGATACATCAGTCTTCCATGTGACACTAGACACTGTTGCTGTATAATGAAAAGAAATAAAGAAGCATGCATTATAACTCTTTGGAGCAGAGGATGTTGAGTAGCTAACTATATAGAGCCAAATTCTGTCAGTGGTGTTTCATACAGTGAGAGTAAGGGCATAATTTGGCCCATAAGCAAACAGGAGCTGTATAATATTATGTTGTGGAGACTAAGGCTGTGTTGAACATGTCCATTTATGCCACAAATGTCTCAAATTCTGTCTTGAAGACAGCGAAACTTCAGGGAAGTTGTCTTTACATTTTTTAATAATAAATTATTTTGATATAAGATTTCTCTGTCAGTATTTTGTCTGCTTCCTAATAACTTGTTTTACCTATACTCCACATATTAAAAAAGACACTATCCAGCAATGGACAGATAGGCAAGGGGATAGCATAATGGGAATGGGTGGTATGTTATATTGACCTTTCCATTACAAGTAGAAGCTTAACTCCTAGCACTTGATAAGACTGGCATGAAGCGGTTAGAATAAGAACTGGCAGAATCCCCAAAACAGGAAAAAAAACAGGTATGCAAGTTCAGTTAATACAAATAAAAGTCTTCCATAGTTTGAAGGACCAAGAAAAACTTAAAAATCAGTGGAGGAATAAAATACACAAATAGGAAAGTAATCCTCCTCCCACCAACCCTAACTGAAACAACTGGTAGGCAACATTCCCTACAAATGAGGAACATAGATCACTGGACATGGTTACATAAATCTCACAGATGGATTTTCCAATTAGACTGGTTACTTTTTTCTCTTGTTTCCATTTTTTTAAATGAATCACACCTTTACTGGTTGGGGCTGAAACAGATAGGCAACAGCATTATTCCTCCATGTCAGATGAATATGCACTTGAAAAATTAGTGCCCACATTTACAGCAACAGTACAGCTGCAAGTTTGCTACTTCAGACAAGGCCTAAGGCAGGCATGTCCAAAGTCCGGCCCGCGGGCCAATTGCGGCCCGCGGTCGGATTTAATACGGCCCCCGCTTCTCCCGGCTCCCCGGTGCTCCTTTTAACTGGCGCGCGCAGCGCGCCGCTTCGGGCCGCGCTGCCGCCGCGGTCCTAGACCCTGCCCTGTAGGGCACGTCCGCAGACCCGCTTGGCTGCGGGTTCGCCCTGCCCCCGGGCCGCCTTGCGGGTAATTTGGCAATATCTATCTTTTATGGCCCCCAATGAATCCATATGTATTGAGATGAATACATTGTAAAATCTCAGTTAAAGTCAGTTGGTCTAAATCAGTTATAAATATATTTGGACACAACATGTATACTTGGTGTTATGTTCCTGTTCATATTTTTTGAACTTAAAAGTTGACAGACAACCTTTATTACCAATAATATGTAATGTACTTTACAATGTTCCTGACATATATTTCAGCTTCCTGGATTTTTTTTTTCATCTGGCCTTCAGATATGAAAGGCAGAGTGATTTAACACCTGTTTAGATTTGTCATCCATGTGACGAAATGAAAAGTATGCCGTTTGCAATAAACTTTGCATAAAATAGTTAATTTGCATTTAATTTTAATGGTTCAAAGAATGTCAGGCAAAATGGTCGGCCCTCACGCATGTTCACTTCTTCAAATCTGGCCCTCTTTGAAAAAAGTTTGGACACCCCTGGCCTAAGGGATCTGACTCTCAGATCATGAAAACCTGCTCAGAGATAAAAACACATCAGCTCTGGCTAGGCCATTGTTTACATTGTAGCTAGCAGCAATACAGCTGTACTGCTGTCAAATGAGTACTCATTTTTTCTAGTATTGACAAAATCCTAGAGTGTAATATTTATCTTATGTATACCAGAACAATTCTGGTCTGTGGAGTTCTAATGGAGTGAGAAAATAATTTTCAAGTCATACTTTCATACAATTAAGTAGTAGTGGATTATGGTGCGCCTAAAATACATTTGATGTCTCTGATGCAAGATTTAAGTGTATTTCCAACCTTCTTCCTCAGCCTGCTGCAGATACTCTGCAAGGCACTCACCTATTATAAACACAGTATTAGCAGTGCTCAATTTACCTACTGCAGAAAGACCCTTATCAGAGGCATGACATTACTCTGTTTCATTTGCTACCCACAAAACCTATTCTGTGTAATGTAAGGAACTGGCTGTTCCAAGCATCCATGAGGATGATATTGGTCTTCCTGACCCTCCTGCATCTCACCTGAATAAACTTCTAAAAGAGAAGAGTGGGTGATATCTGTCAGTGCAAACATTTCTGTGTGGGAAACAAAACTGATTGTCAGTTTAAACAGAAATTAAAGCTAGTTCAGCAAAAATTTCCCTTGTGTCATTCAAGATCCTTTTTAGTTTTCTCGTTAGTTCCAGTGTGTTCCTGGGACACAATTGTGCTATTCCAAACATCACTGTGTGATGGCTTCAACAGTTTGACCATCTACACACTCTTTGCCTACCCCAAGAAGTGGAGGGTTTGAAGAGGTGGTCCCACATTCAAATCTGGGATTTATGTGGTCCAATTCTCTCCCACCACTGTTAGCCACTGGTCAAAGGACTTGAAGCAGTGTAAAATGAGCAGGTGAAGGTCAGGCCCAATGGATTTCTACTATACAGCAAACTTGTTAATAATTGGAGAAAAACAGGTTTGGATGGTGACAGTTGCTTTTCACTATAGCAATGTGAGGGGAAAGACTAGGGACAAAATAATCTCAGGAATATGTATCTGTGTCCCAGGTCACATCCTCAGCTGGTGTGATTCCATGCAGTTTTAACAGAGCTACCCTGATTTATACCAGCTGAGGATCGGACAATCAGTTTTGTTTCCTCCATAGAAATGTTTGCACTGACAGGTATCACCCGCCCTTCTCATTTAAAAGCTTATTCAGGAGAGTCAGGTAGACCAATATCATCCTCATGGATGCTTGGAACAGCCAGTTCCTTACATTACACAGAATAGGCTTTGTGGGTAGCAAATGAAACAGAGTAATGTCATGCCTCTGAAAAGGGTCTTTCTGCAATAGGTAAATTGAGCACTGCTAACACTGTGCTTACAATAGATGAACTCACATTACGAAACCTTTTTGGTAAAATTGTTGGATCTCTCACACAAGCACACCCTCTCTCCAACTGCTGCTGTACCAGATGGGAATCCAGAAATACTATTCCAGTTCTCAGAACAGTCCCAGCAGCTAAAGAGCAATGTGGACATTTATAAATGATGGCAAAGAGCATTCTGGGAGGTAGCCATTACCATCTGCAAAGCCCTTGAGAAATAGACATTTTATTTATTTTTTAATGCTTGAAAAGTGTGTTGGGAGACTTTTGTTTTGCTTTCCAGGCACCCTTATAATAATACTTGCAGTTTGCACTTTTATATCAGTAGCCAAGGACAACAGATACTGTTCCTTTCACAAGTAGCCCCTCCTTCCCCAAGCAATGCTCCAACTTACAAATAAAAATTGCCACTTCATACAACTTCTTCTCCAACTGCCTAGGAGAGAAAAAAATGGCCTTGGAGCATCTGTGAAATGGCTAGCAGCTCCAGGCTGGGCAGATCAAGGGTGAGAGCACCCTGGAATAGTAGGGACTTGGAAGACAATGCCCCCTAGGCAGCTCTCTGCAGTTTACTGATACTCACTGCCTAGACTAGCACAAGGAGACAGATAACCAGGTTCCAGCCTGTGTGAGAGAAGACAAATAGTCCCTCCTCCATACCCCAGACATTAATGGAGTCTCAGTCCTCACAGGGAGAACCTGCTTATTCATTGCTTCTTGTCTTATAAAATCTTACCTGATTACAACAGCACAGACAGGTTTAAACGTGGGGCTGGATAACAATAGTAGTTTAAATTAGAGTAGTGGGTTCTTAGTTTGCTGCGCGGTATGAATACATTATCTACAACGCATTCAGCTAACACCCAGCATGCAAGGAAGGACTGTCAAGGCCAATTCCTCCTGTGGTTGTTTTAAGTCCTGCTCAGAAATGAAGGGGACATTATACAGTTACACGATACTTGTACCCATACACAACCAAAGAAGGCAGCAGCACCACTTGGCAAACAAACTTGCAATGAGCGGTTTTGCCATACTTAGTTGCTGAAAAATATAGTGAGTATAATAACATACCGCATTGTTACATCCATGCCATTTGCTGTTATGGGGCAATGATGGGTTTATAAAGGAGCTTTTAGAGTTGGGGGAATCCACAGACATCCTCACATTTAAGAAAAATACCTATGACTTGGCTATAACGTAAAATGTCACCCTTCAGAAGTATTTTTATGAGCTTTATAGGTAAATTGCTCTTGTGAGAAATGACTTAACAGTACCACGGAGGGAGCAGATTCCATCAGAGAAACCCACCAATCTTATCTTTATTTTGGTGGGAGAAATTTAACAAGCACATTACTTCTTGACTCCTCATAGTGTATGTGAACTACAAACACACATGAAATGTGTAGGGACCTAATTCTAGAGGTTACCATGCCAAGAAAAAGAATATTCAATTCTTGACCTTAGAGCAACTGAAATTTTTTAAGAGACTCTGTGCCAAAATTTGTGGTCAATACCTTTAGAAATGTGTAATAAAAAGTGAGGTCCACGCAGTTTTGTAGAGTCACTCTTCAATACTACCCCTGAGCTCCCTAAATGGGAGGTGATGGTTGACTAAAATCCAAACCTGGGAGAAGATAGTATGGCTGTGTCTCTAGTTATTTCTTTAAGATGCACAAGTAGACAATTTCTCCTGAAAATCTTCATTAAAACCAAAGAATACTTAAACTACGAAGTACACATGGGCAACAATTATAGCATAGTCCATTAAAATTTTCCTGATTGAGATAAATACTTATTTCTGTCAATTAGCTCATTTTTCCAAGCCAGGCTTTGTATTTTAACTGAATATTTTGCTCCATTTCTGCATTACGTATTTAGAACTGACCAAAGTTATGTGGATTCTTGGATCTGATCCTAAGTTAAGGCTTTCAGACGACGCACAGCTAATCTAATATTTATAGGGCTTGGAAAATCAACTGACCTATATGGAAAATGCACTTGTGAGTGGAGTTGGTTGTTTATTTAGCTGGTATGTTTCTTAGACATCCACAGATGTCAAAGGAAAAGCAAAATAATTAAAAGAAAGGACGTGCAAGAAAGGGAGCTAATGAGGGAGGCAAAGAACTGTACTGAATGCTTTCTTTAAAAAAGTGGTAGAAATGTAGCCGTGTTAGTCTGGTGTAGCTGAAACAAAAAACAGGACTGTGTAGCACTTTAAACACTAACAAGATGGTTTATTAGATGATGAGCTTTCATGGGCCAGAC